ATCTGAATGAAACAGAATATTTTCATAGAGTAATAGTCTCCTGCTGTCAGTAGGAAAGGCTTTTACTGAAATGAGATTTGTCTTCAAAGCAGAAGTTATTGATCGTATGCTATTATAATAACAGTATTATTTCTTTTACCAGGTAACTGCTGGTGAAGCAATGATTTTGATTGATGGATGTCAGTACACGGGAGAGACAGTGGTTTAATGTGGTTACTCAATGGCAGACCTCTAAATAGTTCAAGTCACAATTGTCCCTTCTGGGGGCCAGAAAGCTAGGACAATTTTAGAAAACTATGGACTTGAAATACCGTGATTAGTGTATTTCCTAATCAATGAGTTTGTAAGTATTTAATTACAGTAATTTAAAATTATTTTAATATTTTCTTAGAAATAAAACTATTTCACTAAGAACATATAATAAAGAATAAAGAATATTCTTTTACATTCACCCTTCTGAGTTTTACCCAAGACTCATGAAGTGTTTCTATGAACACAGAATGCACCTGTTGCAGTCACCCAGTTGTGTATTTTTGAGTGTTGACTTCAATTGTCTACAAATTTCCTACTGGGATTTCCAGTTCCCCTCTCCTGTGGGTATGAGAATCTCAATTATCTCTTAAGATTGGTGAGGACCTCAATTATCCCTTAAGATCGGTGACGAATTCTGTGTCTGGGTTGTATCTGTTCTGCATCTGTTCTGTATTCTGTATCTGTGAGGTGTGGGAACACACTCTTCCTTCTGATCATCACTTGGGGTACAGCCCTGCCTAATCTTACTTTTGGCATCCATTAAGAGCCCTAAAAACATCCACAGTTCATTCATCCTTTCTCAACGTATACGGAAAGTATGTGAAAATACAATTCTTTAAAGAGAGTTGGGGAAATCCTGGTTCTTTTATCCTGGCCATTTCATGCTGAAAGTTGTAAGCAGGATATCCTTCCCAAGAAAAATTGTAAGAACTCCAGATATGGTTTGCCCCCCTTTTTTTTCCCCAATTCATTTTATGTCTTCTTCCTAACAGTATATCTCACGAATGATGGAATCTGCCCTAAATATTGTGGTTTATTATCCTTCCAAAGTTTTGTGCCTTTCTGTACTGAAAAAAAATGATACAATGACATTGAGTAAATGTGCCCAAAAGTATTATCCAAACACTTCTTGAACTCCATCACACTTGGTGCTGCGACCACTTCCCTGAGGAGCCTGTTCCAGCACCCAAACACCCTCTGGGTGAAGAACCTTCTTCTAATATCCAACCTAAACCTCCCCTGACACAACTTCAGGCCATTACCTCAGGTTCTGTCACTGGTCACAACAGAGAAGAGATGAATGTCTGTCCCTCCTCTTCCCCTCACAAGGAACTTGTAACTGCAATGAGGTCTCTCCTCAGTGTCCTCTTCTCCAGGCTGAACAGACCAAGTGACCTCAGCCACTCCTCATACAGCTTGCCCTCAAGGCCCTTCACCATCTTCATTGCCCTCCTTTGGACACTCTCTAATAGCTCAATATCTTTCTTATATTGTGGTCCCCAAAACTGCCACAATATTCAAGGTGAGGCCGCCCCAGTGCAGAGCAGAGCAGGACAATCCCCTCCCTCAACAGGCTGATGATGCTTTGCCTGATGCCCCCCAGGACACAGTTGGCCCTCCTGGCTGCCAGGGCACTGTTGACTCATATTCAACTTGCCATCGACCAGGACCCCCAGGTCCCTTTCCATGGCACTGCTTTCCAGCATCTCATTCTCCAGTCTGTACAAACATCCAGGGTCGCCTGATCCCAGGTACAGAATCCAGCACTTTCTCTTGTTCAACTTCATATGGTTGGATTGACCAGCCCTCTAATTTATTGAAGTCTCTCTGCAGGGCCTCTCTGCCTTCAAGGGAGGCAACAGCTCCTCCCAGTTTTATATCATTGGCAGACTTATTTAGTATCTCTTCCAGTCCTGCGTCCAAGTCATTTATGAAGATATTGAAGAGCACAGGGCCTAAGATGGGGCCCTGTGGAACCCCACTAGTGACAGGTCATCAGCCTGATGTTACCCCATTCACTGTTACCCTCTGCTCAACCCATGAGCCAATTGCTCACCCACCACATGGTGTGTTTGTGCAGCTGTGCTGGACATTTTGTCCAGAAGGATCCTGTGACAGACAGTATTGAAAGCTTTACTGAAATCCAAACAGATGACATCAACTGGCTTCCCTTGATCAACCAGGTGGGTTACATTGTCATAAAAGGAAATCAAGTTGGATAAGCAGGACTTTCCTCTCATGAAGATGCACTGGTTGTGATCAATGACAACGTTGTCATTCAGGTGTTTTTCAATATCTCCCAGAATAATCTTCTCTGCAACTTTACCAGGCACTGAATGAGATTGACAGATCTGTAGTTTCCAGGGTCCTCTTTCTTGCCTTTCTTGAAAATCAGGACAACACTTGCCAGCTTCCAGTCAGCTAGAACCTCTCCAGATTCCCAATATTGGTCAAAAATCATCGAGAGAGGTTTTGCGATGATACCAGTGGGCTCTTTGAGGATTCTGGAATGAATCCCATAAGGAGTCATAGCTTTGTAGGGATCCTGCTGGAACAGCAGATCCTGCAAAATTTTAGGGTCAACTGGGAGTTGATCGTTCTCGCGGTCATGGTCCTCCAGCTCAGGTCACTGAAACCCCTTTGGTCTGTCATCCATGTTGAAGACAGAGGCAAAGAAAGCATTAAACATCTCTGCCTTGTCTCTGTCGCTGTTTGTGAGGTGACCATCCTCATCCTGTAATGGGCTAATGATATTTCTATACTGCCTGTTACCATTAATATATCTGAAAAAACTCTTTTTATTGTTCCCCACCAAACTTCACTTTGCTCACCAGACCCAATATGTTGACAAGCAGCACATCAAGGAGGGCATCCTTCCAAGTTGGCTTCCTTATGACCTGCTCCATAGAGTTGTCATCCGGGTTTTTTAGGAATCTTCTGGCCCAGATTGTACCAGATACGTGATGCTTCCAGTTAACTTCTGGCAAATTGAAATCCCCCACAAGGGCAAGGGCAGTTGCCTTGGAAGTGTCCCTTAGTTTCTCAAAGAATAATTTGTCAGCGTCAGCATCCTGGCTGGGAGGTCTATAGCAGAATCCCACAATGACACTGGCATTATTTGTTTGCCCCTTGATTCTTTCCCAGAGGCTCTCAACTGTGCCATTGCCAGCTGTGAGCTCCATACATTCTAACTCTTCTATTACATACAGTGCCACCCCTCCACTTCTTCTGCCCTGCCTATCCCTCCTGAAGAGCCTGTAACTGTCTAAGAGGGTACTCCAGGCACAGGACTCATCCCACCGGGCTTCACATGCCAATGAAGTCAAATTTCTGGGACTGGGCCAAAGCTTTGAGCTCCTCTTGTTTGTTCCTCATGCATGCAGCATGAGAGGTCTGGCACTGTCTGCCAAATGTAGGTTCCTGCTGTGTGTACCTAATGAAACAGTCCTGCTAAACTCAGTTCTCGTATTCCCTAAACAGGTGACCAAGGATAAGAGGCTTTGAAGACCTCCAAAGGCAGATTTTTTCTGGCAAGTTGAAGCATCTAATTAGCCTCCTTTCTGGGGGCCTGTAGGGGAATCTAGAGTTTCCTATTGATTATACACAATACTGCTTTAGCCAGATGATTATGCCAAAGTTTAGATGTTCATCTTTGGTGACCCTTCTGACCAAATACTGCCTCCCTCCTGCAGGGGAAGACAGGGACAGGGATAGGGTGCATGAGCTGGACTTTTGGCCTTCACCAGGCGTTTTCTTGGCTCACATCTTTCTCTCTGTGTCTGCTCTGGTATCAACCCCAGCAAATGTGGATTTGAGTTGTTGGTAGCTTTGCTGCTGTGGGGTATAGGGATGAATTGAAGTTTGGACATGAAAGGAGCTGGGATACAGATGAGAATGAATATGAGACTTTCCTTCTATTTTTAAACCTTGCCTTCTATTTTTAAACCTGTCTTTGCTGCCTTGCTCAGTAGGATTGAGCCATCTCGGTGTTTCGGAGGCCCGAGGAGCGACATACGTGACGTCCGTCTCCCCTTGTCCATCTCTCCGGGCTGCCCCGCAGCATCTACAAGGATGCTGCTGCCTGCCATGAGGCTCAGGCAGCTGCCTGTCCTCTGGGATCAGCCCTGTCCGGCTCCTTCCACCCGCAGGGTGGGCAGGCTGTGTCCCAGGGTGCAGGGGTGGCCCTCTCCCCTCTCCCCGGCTCCTCCCTCGCTGTGGCCAGGGGCAGCGGCGGAGCGGAGCGGCCCTGGCCCGGCTGTCCGGCAGATGCCCCAGCCCCGGGGGGAGATGGGCTCTGCGTGGGACACAAGCTCTTCCTGGCGCCCTGTCCTTGCCGTCGCGACCGGCGCCGCCGCAGGCGAGACCCCCCCTCCGCTCCCCTCCCAGCCCCTTGCCGCTTGCGCTGCGGGCGCAGTTTGTCCTTCATTTGAATAAAACCGCCATCAAAAACATTCAGTTGAGTCAGCTAATAAACCGCTTAATTCCCGGATCCATACCATGGGTGATTTAGAAAAGACAATTAAAAAGCCAGGCAACAGTCTCTGTGGCTTTTTATTGTGAGCTCCATCAGTCCAGAGTGCTGCCTGCCATCCGCTTCCCTAGTAAAAGCCTCAATACACAGATTGCAATCGTGTTCTATAGGTGCCTGCTTTGCTTCTCCTCCTCTGCCCCAGACTGTCAGAAAATGCTTTCTTGGATATAAATAACTTTTTAATTTTATTTTATTTTATTTTGCTCTCCCTGCAGAGTTAGGGCTGGACTAATAATTGTCACGGCATAACCAACAGAAAGAGAATGGCAATGAGACAATCACCCAGTGTGAGATCAGTCCTGACTTGCTGTGAGCTTAACACCCTTCTCCTGGGCAGAGTAAAGGAACAGCGGGGCTTGGGAATGAGCCAGCTCCATCACAGCTCTGCTATTGCGCCAGCAATAACATAACCCTCCTCAGGACTGGGATCAAGGGTCCAGTTTCACCTTTGCTAGTCAAAGGCAAAGAAGATAGGACTTATACCTGCAATTAAAGTGGGCACAGTTCTGCTTTAATATCTATTAACTCTGGAGTAACAAAAGCTAAGAGAAGAATGACTAAAACAAGACTCACAGCAGGATTAATTTGGAGGTAATTTTTTTGTTCTTATGTTTTCCTCCTGCCTGCTCAAAAACAAGCTAATATCATGCTAATGTTCCTTTTATAGACACTGCATGAAGCTTGCCTGTTCGCATCCTGCAGCATCTGAACAAGAACCTGTCCCAGATCGTATGTTCTGTGTCTCCATTATGTGCTGCTGGGTCAAACTGCTCTGTGAAAAGAGATCTCCAATAGCTCACAGTTTTCAGATAAATTAGCAAGAATCTGAGGTGTCAGAGATTTGGATTGAATTCAGCTTTTAATTCAGAAAAGTCCAGGCTAACTCTTGACCGAAAACCTTCCCCTGTTTCCCAGGCTAGAGGAGTGGTTGGGAAGGCCTTTGCCCTCACTGCCAGAGCAGAGCAGGGCATGGTGCTACAGCAGCAGGAGTGGGAACTGCCTCTTGTGCCTGGAGTGAAACTTAGCAGAGAGAAGTTCCTCAAAAAGAGTTAATCTAGTTCACAACAGAGATTCCTGACTGTGCTGTGTCCAGTGTGTGGGCCTTTGTGAAAGGACTTTCTCTCTTGTTCTTCTCTTTGAAAATTTGCCACCCCAGACAATTGTCAAGGCAGTGCTTCTCACTGGATAGCATTAATGGAGTTGTGTTTCCTTGCAGTTTCTACAACTGTCTGGTTTTCTACTTCTCTCCCTTTTTCCGTTTCCTGTTGGCACTGCATCCTAAACTCCTAACCTCTTACACACATGCACTGGTTTTTTTCACTTGCTGGGGGAGGTGCTACACAATGAGATCCATGTAGTGAGAGTTCAATTGCTACATGTCAGAGCACGGCATATGCTAGCCAGTTTTCTCACCCACACCCGTCTCCGTGGGATTTCTCAGCACATTTGCTTCCCAGCTCCTGCACTCAACATGTGCTGCAAAGTGTAGTGGAATATCCGGGTCTGAGGCCCTGCAGTGTACAGGAGGACTCTTTCTGACTTGTATTAATATTGCTGCCAGTGAAATCTGTGGCATTTTGATTGCTTTGGAGCTCCATGGCTGAAATGCGTTTGTCTCTGCTTACCCATATGACTCTCCTTTCAGCTTTTTGTCTTCACATGAAAGAGAGGGCAAAAAAAAAATCTTTTGATGTTTTTGAGAATATTGCAAGATATTCTCATGAAAACACCATTTCATTTGCTCAGGCGCTTGTTCATACAGGCTTTCATGACTTCCAGGATTGACTATTTTAATTTGTTCCTGGTGGTATTCCAGATTGTTTGCTAAACTGGCTGCAGATGGTTTTGAATGTTGCTGCTGCCAGAATTGTTACTAGGACTTGATCTACAGATCATATTTCTCCAGTCTCACGTTCCCTCTACCCTGGTGCCTGTTAAGCAGCATATGGCCTTAAAATTCTTTACTGACTTATAAAGCTTGCACTGGCCCCGATTCTTTTTACCTTCCTGACCTTATAACACTTTAGACTTTGGCTAAGGCTCATGGCTTATCTGATGTAATGGCCACTGACAGTTCAGAGCCAGCATCCAAAAAACAGGGTCAAGTATGGCTTTGGGTTTTGCTCCTTGTCATACTTTTCTTTCAGTGAAGGAAGTGGGTTTATTTTTTGCTTCTATTGCTTAATATTCAAATTATTATTCCAAGTTTTACACTAAGCTTTTCCACGTAGATTCACACACAGACACAGATACACACGAAGTCAACATATAAACAGTATGCTGCTCCTTTAAAATTCAAAAGTGCAAACAAAAGCAGTTTGGTTCCCAGTTGATGTAGAAGCGAACTGGTCTAATAAATTCTGGAGAGCTGCTTTCTGACAACAGTGTATGAAGAGGGAGAGCTTCTTGTGTGTGCATGGCATGAAAAAATTTTGGATCATTGCCGCCTTTTATTTGCATGCCCTTCAAGTACTTTGATTACTGAAAGCTAAGGAGTGTTACTCTTAGCTGTCTGTCAGCTTTGTGTTGCTTCATCTGAAAAGCAGGTATGCAAGAACACTGCCTTGCATGGGTATATTTTGTCACAAAGCATTTGATTCCCCTGAAACTAGTGAGACCATGCTGCTGGTTTTGATCCCTGTCAGATGCAGAACCAAGGACAATAAAAGGGACCTGAGTTCTTTTCACCTGTAACAATGTGGTCATAGACCTTTTATTAACAGTGGTATAGCACAAATTCACAGTGGGTGAAATTTTGTATTTACTGAAATCTATGGGAATTTTTTTGGTGGCTTTGTTAGAGACAGGGCTTAAAGGAACAAGGTTTGGAAGCAGAGTTGGCTTGGATTGCAAAGTTGGAAACTATATAGAAAGAGTTCTTGCTGTCAGTAACTTAAGTCAAGATTGCTCTTGGAGGTCACTGAGATGTTATCGGGGTTGTTATAATTTTAGACCCCCTTCTAGAGAAGAGCCACTCTGCAAGCTCAACTGCTGGTATTCATTCTTTAAGGGTTAGGTCAGGGAGGGTTCTTATCCTCTTGCTAGCCTTGAGTCCCTCTGGAGAACTGAGCTGTTTGTCACCAGCTGGAAAGAATTCAAAGTGCTCTCTTCTGCTTCCACCTCAATCTGCAAGACCAGACAAGGCCCCTAGGGCATTCCACTCCTCTGCCTTCACTGACCAAAATGCAGTTAGTTCTGAGAAGATACGTAAGAATTTCTTTGATCTGAGTAGGTCTGAGTTTACAGATCTCTTTGTCTTCTTAGACTCCCCAGGCTGATTTTCTTGCTGAGATCCTTTATATTTTGTACTTGTTCCTTTTTATTCTGTCTTTCAACAAAGTATAAAGCAGAACATAGGTTCTACTTTCCCTATGGAAAACCATTCCATGCTTTTTTTCTTCTTTGAATTGCTCTAGAGTTGATCATAGTTGCATATTAAATAAATTTCTAGAAATAAAAAAGGGGGGGTAAAATTTGAATAGGAAAAAAGGGGTGAAAAGAGAAAAAAGGGAAGAAATAGAAGAACTTGAAAACTTATATTCACTGCCATTTAATCTGAATGCATTCTGTCTGCTTTTGTGTTGTTCTGTCAAAAAAAAAGAGAAGGAAGAAAGAACGGAGATATCAGCACTTCTTCATAAAAAATATTTTTCTCAAGAGAATTGTATATTTTATGAAAAAAAAATTCAAAATTCAGATTACTTTTTGGATCATAGAATATATTAAGTTTATTCCTGTATGGCAAATTTGTAAAGGGAGAATTGTAGTACTCTATAAAAAATCAGAGTGCCCTAGTACAGTTGGAAAGTATTGGAAAGGAACTGTAGTTATAAGGCAGGGAACACAAGACAAAGGACATGGAAACTCATTAAAGTCCATGACAATTTACTGCTGTGATATTGAGGCCAGATGACTTATGGAGTCCCCAGGTATACAACCAGGTCAGCAATAAGTAGAAATCAGGAGTTACTTTTCTCCTGTGTGTACAGACTAGTATGAGAACATGGCACACAGGACTGCAGTCAGCTTTTTAAACAAGATGTTGAGTGATTGGAAAAAAAAGTTAAGGAAAATGAAGAGAAAGTAAACAAAATTATCTGAAAGATAGAGAAGTTACTTTCTCTGAGAGCTAGAGGGGCTAATTTCTCTTCACAAACTTTAAGATTGGTGTGTTTATTTGAATTAAAAGATAGATGTTGAAGTAATCTTTAATTAAACATATATGGCCACAGCAAGAGTTATGGGTGGAAGTTCTGGCCAAATGAAGTCAGAAGAAAATGTGAAACAGGCCCTGAGCAGCAATGGCAAGAAACTACTGCAACACAATACCAAAAAAACAGTGATATTGCCTAAACAACTCCGAATGCTTTTCTGAAAGACTGTGTTCACTCAATACAAGTTTTACTTTAGTCACACATATTACTGAGCTCGCTCACTATGTGAACATTGAATAAAACACTGTGCTATGGGATGTGCAGTAAAACAAACTGAAAGAGATGTTTGTCCATCCTGACCTTAAACTTCGGGAATCTGGGACATAACTTTCTGGGCTAGGCCAGGTTTCTGTTACCCCTTGCTTCACACAGAAAGATGGAACAACAACCCCAAGAGGTTACTTGTCTTTACTTTCAAAAGGAGGAAAACAATTAATATCAATATTTTTACAGAACTTGTTAAAATGCGTTTCAGCAGATCCTTTCAATTCCTTTGACTGAAGTTAAAGGCCTTAACATTTCCAAATAGAATTTTGATTTTGATCTAATTTTAATTTAGTGACTTGAATGTTTTAGTTCAGGACTCAGAGGGACTTTGATTCCTCATGGGAACCATAGTTCAAATGCAGCATCCCCATTTTTCTTCTGTTGGTTTGGGGTCTCCAGTTCAATTGGATATTGTATGATGTTTCAACTTCAGGAATGTCTATGATGTAATTCAGAAATGGAAGCTTTTGCAAAAAAGAGCTGGGACATGCATTATCTGAACTAAAATCCCATGAGGCATTTCTCTGACTTTTCTCTCATTTCTCTGACCATGAGGTTTAGTCTAACTGATGTGGTCTGAAGTGGTTTAACTAGCCAAAATGTTTTCCTTGGAGTCGGTGTTGTTTGGTGAAGATTCGGAAACTTCAAGGAATATTATTAATATTTCCTAGCAGTAAAGTTCAGTTTTGCAGAAAATACATTTTATATGGGAAAGCATTCATGGAAATTTCCTGAATAGTTTTATTTAAGAACTAGAGAACCAGCTCTTAATTAAAAGGGGGAGAGTGCCAAATATTAACACCCCCAGGGACAGCAAGACTGATTAAATACGTGTCTAATGTTCTGTTTTTAATCCAAAGGAAACTGCTTCGATGGCATACATGTTGTTTTAAGTTTTTTTCATTTTCCTGAAAAAGTGTCTAAGTAAAACAGCATGTTCTTTATGCTGGGGTGCCATTCCCTGGGGTTACTCTCATCATGCTCACAGCACATAAGTGCTGCTTATTTCTCTGAGTGAATAGACACGCCAGCAGCATGGGGTCTAGAAACAACAATGAAGAAAACACTGTAGTGGTCCTTTTGTGTGTCTGACTAACTGCTAGGTTGTGACCCATGGTGATCTGGAGACCCGAGCTTTCTTAAAATTGTTGTCCATTGATTTGTCCTTCCTGAAGTTACAGCTCTTACAAACAGGCGCACTTGATGACTAAAATGAATGGTGGGACACTAAAAATGGCAAAGTTGCTGCTGAAAAATCCATCTCTTTCCAAAATCGCAGAACCACAGATTATCTGAAGTTGGCAGGACCTCTGGAGGTCATCTAGTTCAGTTCACCCTGCCCAAGCAGGACCACCCAGAGCCAGTTGCCCAGGACCATGTCTAGAAGGCTTTTGAATGTCTCCAAAGATGAATATTTTACAGCCTCTCTGGGCAACCTGTGTCAGCTCTTGGTCATCCTGACAGTAAAAAATGTTTCCTGCTGTTCAGAGGGAACCTCCTGTGCTTCACTTTGTGCCTACTGCCTCTGGTCCTGTCACTGTGCACTGCTGAAAAGAATCTGACTCCATCCTCTTTGGACCCTCCCTTGAGTTAGTTACAGCCACTGATGAGGTCCCCCTTGAGCCTTCTCTTCTGGATAAACAGTCTAAGCTCTCTCAGCCTTTCCTCATAGGACACATGCTCCAGGTGCTTAATCATCTTCATGGCCCTTTATTGCACTCTATCCAGTATGTCCATGTCTCTCTTATACTGGGAAGCCCAGAACTGGCCTGAGCACTCCAGGTGTGGCCTCACCAGTGCTATGCTGAGGGGCAGGATCACCTCCCTCGACCTGCTGATAATGGCTTGCCTCATGCAGCCCAGGCTACCATTTGTCTTCTTTGCCACAAGGGCACGTTATTGCCTCATGTTCAACTCAGTGTCCACTAGGACCCCCAGGTCCCTTTTGCAATGCTGTTTTCTAGTGAGGTGGCTCCCAGCATATAGTGGTGCATGGAGTTGTTCCTTCCTAGGTGCAACACTTTGCATGTGCCCTTGCTGAACTTCACAAGGACTTCCTTATAAAACTATGTGTTACCAGATAGTAATCTTTGCTGTTCAGACACAAATCACATTAAAATATAGAAGCTAATTTACAGAAAATAATTCGGATCTTCTATCAACACTTACTGCATATGTATTCACCAACAGCACAGAGTCAATTAAGTATCCTGCCTCCTGCTATACCAGATCCACTTTTTCAGAAAATGTGCATGTTGTTGATCAATGTGCTCTAACAATGATGAATATCTAAATATGTGAGGTATTGAGAGTACTCTTAATGCTGAAATAGCATTACCAAAACTTTCAAATCTCTGCTGCCAAGAGGAGAAAGCAACATATCTTGGTTTTTATCCCTTAACTTACTACCATTGCTGCACATGCTGGGAGGCACAATGTACCATCTCTGAAAGAAAATCCACATCTCTGTAGTACCAACCTTTAACTTACTGACAGTGATCAGGTAGTCTATTGCAATACAGGCAGGTGACTTAAGGAGATATGGATCACACTCAAGATTGCTTTGGTAGCTCTAGATTTTCAAAGCCTTTAAATTTGCAGGATGAGTTATAACAATGTTACTGTAGTATCATCTGTTTGAGTGCTTATTAACCTGCATCAAACCATATGATTTTTCTTGAAATGCATCACACATTTGTATGTGTGTGCATATAGGGTTTTTTTAATTGAATTTGTAGCATGTTCAGCTGACATAAATCTAGATGCAGTGCCACACTCTTCACTGGCACTTATTTCCTGGAAAGGCTGATGAATAATTGTAACTCTAGCAAATATATTTTCTTAGGTGACTCTAAGGCTGAAAGCCATTTCTATAATCTGAAGTATGAAATACAATTTAAGAAAAAAATATCTCATTCAAAAGTCAGAGTAAATGTAGGCAGAGGTTAAATCAAATCTGAACCTCTTCTACAGTACAGAAATGCAGACCAGAGGTTGCATTAAAACCACAATCCAGTTTTGTAGACAATACCCTGAGAAAAAAGCAGAAATTCTGAGAAAAACTCATCCATCCATAACCAGCAGGTTCTTCTCATCAGTAAGCAAAAAACCAGAGAGGCAGAAAAAACCAGCAAAGCATTAGTTTACTTTTACCACTAATTTGTGGATGACTAATTGGAGAGGACTGTGTAACAGCAAGCAACAAATGCTCAGTGTTTATATCAAGTAATCCAGTGAAATGGCCAAAGACAAGCCAAATCATTTACAGGAGGCTTTCAGTGTGGCAAAGGGTTTCAGAGTGGCCTTGTCAGTACACAACTAAGCTCTGCTGGAGGTGTTGCATTTAACTGATGCTCCATGACCCATCCCAGTCTCTGCATACAAGAGTAGTAACTGCATCTACCTGCGTAAAAGCATTAGGTTTCTGGCTGCTGCTGTCTCTCATGGCTAGGAAAATAGAGTTGGAAAACCCTTCTGGGGATGCCAAATAGTCTCTAGCAAATAAATGCATTAAATATTTCCTTTCATAAAAGCTCCTTTAAAATATGATACAGAGCTAATAAATTTTGAAGTCACAGTAAATTAAAATTGGAAGAGTTGGGAAGCCTTTCAAACAGCAACTTTACAAGATACATAAACATAACAGTTCAGTGAGGTGTGTATGGGTAGGAGGTTATCTCTCATCTTCAGTGCTGAAGACATACCTAAGGAGGAAGTGGAAGAGTTGCAGTGATTGGCACTTGTTTCCAGATCTGCTCCTGGATTAGATTAGGACTGCTGTATTTGTGACAAGGGTTTCCTGGCCAGAAGTATGTGTGCATGAACCACCCAGATGGCCTACACATGGACTGGAAATGCATCCCAACCTCAGCATTTCTGATGTACTGTGCATGTGCTATGCAGCTGTGCACACACAGTCAGATGGATCCAGTACACACAGCATTTACACTGTCATCTGTACAGTCTATAAACTACTGGGGGAATCAGGCATATGACACATGTACACAATGTAGGACTTCTGGTTGCTTTTAGTCTTTCTACATCCTAAAATTCATCATGGAGGTAAAAAGAGGACACGCATGGGACAACTCAGGTAAATGGGGAACATTCTTTCTTACGTATGATTTAGCCAAAAGGTGATTTTGTAGAAGTTGAAAGATACCTGTTGTGCATTTATGGACTGGGACACAGACAACATGAGGAAAACCAATGCTTTGTTCACCAAGTGAAAGAAAGTAAGTATTTAATACATGACTTCTGGACCAAGCTGTGAATGAAATCATATCAAAGCAAAAATGCACCATTCAAGCAATGCAACATAGCTCCCAGATGCATAAACTTTTGGAGTAAAATAAAACCACATGATCCCCATTCATAAAAGCAGCTTTTGGTGGCATTTGCTCTGCCTTTGACTTGCAAACATTCAAGTGTGAAAGCTTTTGTTCATGAGGATATCTGCAGGGTGGCAAATAGTCCTGCACGTACACTGCTGATATTTAAAACTGTATAGTTATACAAACCTCTGTGTAAATAGGCATCTCCTATAGTGATTATCTTGAACACTTTGTTTTGGGAGTCAGGAAGCAGGTAGTATATGGTTTCGATGAGGAAATGCAGACTTGGAAGAACAGAGCAGATAAGCAGTTCATATAAACTGCTATTATACAGAAGTATTTGAAGAAATGTGTGAAAATCAATTCTGCACTTTGGTAAAATAATGTCTGGGAAAAAGAATACAATGGAGATGATGCATTGCTCATAGTGATTAAATGTGCACAGTTGTCAGCTGTGTGTAAAATTTTATTGTTCACAAGGAGAGAGGCTTGAAAGATTTACAGAAAGGAAATTCACAATAGAATAGTAGTGAGCATTTTTTGCCAATAACAGGACCTCTTGCAGAATGTTTCTTTCCCTTGTCATTTCAATTCAAGACCTAAATGTTATTCACTGACACACAAACTAACAATGACATTTTAAAGCTTGCACAGTGCATATGCATCCAGCTCCCCTAGGAAAAGTCAGGCAAACACCTGATGCCTGCTGGGAATTTCGCTGTGGGTGCCAGACAGCTGCTGCCCATCAGTGTTTCCAGGTGTGCTTATTTGGTTAGGAGGTCGCTCCAGCTGCAGACACAATCATAGCAGGGACTCAGGCAAGCTGGAGAGACAGCGGACATGCTCAGATTTTGCTGCTTGGGCTGCCTTGGTTTTGCCCTGATTTAGAGCACCTGGCTTGTTGCAGGATGCAGATGTTTGCTCTGTTGCCCAAGAACCAGCACTTCATTCTCTTTATAATGAGCACTGTGACCTGGGGGAGTTATTAAATCTCTGGTTCAAAAGAGTCTAGTTTTCCTCTCTTTTTGTTTCTCAGCTGACAGTCTAAAGTTCACAAACAGATTAGTGGAAGGAATATATAGAAATTAAAAACTTAATTTTCAAAGTCCTCTGAGTCAAATCTAATTGACAATTTGAATTATAGCCTGTGCTGTTCTTTGTTTCATTTTTCTTTGGGGAAATCCCTGGTTGTACATTTGCTTTGTCCTTTACTATAATTTTACAAGCCTATATTTAAAAATTATTCTGAAGGAACTTCTAGAGGCTGAAGCAATTTTAGGACTACTGCAGTGCTGGTGTGAGACCATGCAATATTCAAAATTGAAGAGATTATACCTTACTCAGGAGACTAGGTACTTTTTTTAAGACCATCAATTTAATTAAAAAACGCAGGCTCTATATTAGCAGCAAGCTTATGGATCATCATATGCCAGTCAAACATAATGAAATACATGCAAATGTTAGATGGCGTATTCTTTTGTCTCTGAAATTAACAATTTCAGTGAACAATTTCTGTACTTTATGTAAAGATTTTTTATTTTTTTTTTTGCTTTATATCTTAAAAAGTGCTGGTCTGAGTGTGTTCCTTTTGAATGATAAGAAAGGTAAGAAATAATCAATTGTCAACAATGTTTTCTTTACAGCTTGGCATTCTCATCTTCCATTAGGGATGTCTGCATCATGTACAGCATCAACATCGTGGCAAGGTGTCCTCTTTCCTATAAACACACTTTTGCCTTTGGAGACTGTTTGCATTGAAGGGGAAAAAGTCATGAAATTGAAGCCCTGGAGAAAATAATTTATGCTCAAGAAACACATTTTAGCCTTTCTGTCTGAACACGTTTATTTTCTATTCCAACTTCATTCTTCATCACTGTCACCCATCCACTCGGCCATTTGTATTTGAGAAGTCAGGGGACAGGAGAACATTTGCTCTTTGTGTTTCTGCCACTGTCAAGAGCTGTAGCAGAAACTAGAGAGCCATAATGTTACAGTTCCAGTGACTATGTGTCTCTGAGAATCTTAATAAAAGCAAACTAATTTTCAGTAAGGGACAACCTCACAACTGATAAATATGTAAATAGAGTAAAATATATTGGGGAAAAAATCCAGAGTATGAATATGATATGAAGACAACTGCAGAAATAATCTTTCTGTTTTTAAACAAGTTCTTAAGGATGTCACCAGTACATGACACTAAGTTTACACCAAAGGGAAGGAATTCTACAGTTCTTTTCTTCTAAAGAAATATGATTCTGATATTATTGCAAGGTCTTTGTAGACTTCTGTTAGTATCATTTTTGGTACATTAAATTGTTACAGCTCTGTCTAAAGATGCTTTTTCTATCAGTACAGGGTCATCAGAAGTTCTCTATGTAGTGTAAAAGGGTCTTGTGAGGAAATTACCTTTTAAATCAAAATATGAGAATATTTTTTTTCTTCATGAATATGACCATTCTTTGCTCAATTATTACATATGCTAGTGCTCTCAGCTTGCCCTAGAGATATGTCATCACATTCTGAATAAGTTCTATTACTTCAAATACATTCTGGTAACAGCGATAATCAAAGTATTTCCAAAGACAGTAAGTCCTAAAGGTGCTTATGAAAGAAAGGGCTAGATTCTAGGCTTGATGTGACTGTTTTTCAAAAACCACTTTTCACATCTATTTAAAAATTTTTATCTAATTTACTTTCTTTTATTATTATTATCATCATCTATTTTAAAATAACCCTAGTCGGTTATTTTGTAATACATTTTATTTTATTTATATTTATTTATTATGTAACCCTAGTCACATTTATTAAATGTCTTCAATTTCCTGATGCCTGTAATCTCACACATACAGAAAGCTTACTGCACATGTAAAGTGTTGTTTGGGTCTATCTAATCTTGTTTTTTCATAGCCAAAATTTAGATTGTTCCTGCTAAGTTATAGAGAAAAAGAGAAAGTACGTTCAAGAAAGGGTAATGATAAAATATATGCTTTTCCTATAGTTGAACCACAGGATGTCACTGTTTCTCTTTCACAAGAAACAAGCTTCAGATGTGAAAGTAGACCAGATTCTTCCTAAAATTACAGAAATGCACAAAAATGACATAAAAAGCACAGAAATTAAGTCAGACGTTTCCTTTTGTATGTGTGAGTCAATCTAGGCAATGTGTTGCCTATGTAGAATAACAATTTAATATTCAATTCAGTCTCATCATGTACCAAGATTGATATATTTTTGGTACATCCCTCCAGACAGAACTGACACATATCAATATGTCCCATATTGCATAAAGAGTCAGGCAGAGCTGAATAGAGTTCAGGCAAAAGTTAATGTAAGACATTAAAACTTCTTGTAACCTTCCCTAGTTAGCACTGAATTTCTAAAATTTAGCACCCTTTGCAACCACAAAGCTGGATCTTGACAAACACATGCTGCTTCTAGTGATTTAATATGATCCCTCCACAAGATCTTTGGTTGCCTTCATATACAGAGTGTCCATCCTAGATGTCCCATAGAATGCTGGACTCTAACTTAGAGAGGCTTTAAGATGTCAGTGTGCTTCAGGCAGTGTTTTACATAAGTCTCTGAGGTCATTGCAGAATAAAGTCCTTTCCACACGCTCATTCTGGTGCTTTCTTTTCCTCATTGCAGTACATGGGGCAACTCCCTCACTCTCCTCAAATCTTCTTTAAAAGTACCTTGTTCAAAACTCCAGTAATATTGATCTGCCAGTTCACACAAGTCCAAATGCTGTTTATTTAATTACCATTTGCTGTTGATTCCACTTCTAGCTTTCTTATGTTTTCTTGGGAGTGATCTTGTTCTTTCTGAATTATTTCTCTATACTGAGCACACTGATTGCACGTGATACATAATAAAGAGCTGGGTTATTGTCATAGATTTCTCTCATACTCTAAGGTCTAGTGACATAGGTTTTGGGAGATGACTGCTCCCTGTTTTTTCTGGAATGGCTTGTGTAAAATGCAGGCATTCTGGCACATTTTACTCACCTTTCTTATTTCTATACTTCTCACAATTTCAGTAAAATGGACTCTTCTATTTTCATTCCTCTTGTGGGATGACATGTGAAATATATGGAAAATGTGTAGGAAGATTTTTCACAATCACCAATTTCATCCCTGCAGCCCACTGAGATCTCAAACTGAATCACACCCCATCTTCTACATGTCTGAAATAATTCCCATGCTATTCTTTAAAACGGCAGCCAGGAGTCAGTGAGAGGCGGGTGCAGAGACATGAAACAGAAGAGAGTGCAGTACCTGCAGGATTCTTTTTTCTGAAGATCATCTAGCATCTGTCTGAAATCTAACTTTTCCTATCACGAAGGAACTTCTAAAAATAATTATACATTTAATCTTCATTATAAACAATGAGGGTACTTCACATGAGTCAGTCTTACTAGTTCTCCTTCCAAAAAAGAGAGGAGCTAGCAATTTGGGGTAAGGGATTGTGTAGTGGTTAGCAAGACATATGGTGTGCAGCATAAGGACCATACTGGAAACAACTCAAGACAGTAGCAAAATTCCCACCCACATCTCCAGATATGAACCTGGCCCATAAACACTTTCTTTATTTGACAAAACACAGTATAAATTACTTTCTATTTTATAAATGGACTTTATAATTCCCCCTAAATAAGGGTGATTATGAATGCCTTTGAGCTCTCTGATGCCAATGGCATCCTCATTGCCATAAGAACTAAAACACTTGAAATGTGGGACAAATGTACAGAGGTTAAGAAGGGTTTGTAGGACAGGTACCTAAACCAAATATGTGGTGACAAGCATTTCCTAGAAAAATTTCCAATATTTTGAGGAATATATGTATTATATGTACATATATATATATATTTTATATATATATATATATACATATATAAATGTATATAATGCAGAGGTAACCATAGGCTGAAGAACAGGGATACAGTATTTTATCTATTGATACAAGTGGCCAGGATGACACATTTGTGCCTCAAGCTTTCTGTTTCCACAAACTGCAATGAAAACTGGGTCTCCCATGGGTCAGCCCATGCTGTTCTAGCGGAGTAGAGTGAGAATCTGATAGCAGTACGACAGACGCATCTTCAGTAGCCTCAGCAAGGCTAAAATATAAAGCAGCAGAAAGAAAGATGGGGCAGCACTGATATCCTCCTAGGCTACCAGCTAAACTCTCCTCTTGTGTGACAAAATGTAACCCATGGTCTCCACTGCAGTGTTACTGGGGCTGGTGAAACACGGCATCTTTGCTGCAGTCATACCCTTTGGTGCAGTAATACATTGTTCTGTGACAGCACTTTCGTTGAAGCTTCTGTCCATATGCATTGTTGACAGAATATGGAAACAAACACACCAACAGTCCTAATGCACAACAGGCAGAGTTAGGGCAGTAATATTTTTTGCCTTTCCCAGACCATGTGTCAAATTTTACTTTGCTCTGAATGAAAGCAGAATTTTCTCCCGAAGAAAAGATAGGGAAGATCTTGTTAGATTGAGGACAGAATGCCACAGGGAGAGTGAGCAGGTTACAAAACTCTCCAGTGTCTTTTTTTCAGCTGTATTGATTTTTTTTTTTAATTTCTATTTCATTTTAAATGAATAAAAATAATTTGTAGGCCTTAGGACCCTCAGGGATACTGAAGCCTGGAGCAAATTTAAGCATACTTACCACTTCAAAGTGAACTGGGCTTTCTCTTACAGCAGACTAGTTAGCATTTCATGGGGAAAAATTCCAGGGTATTTCTCACCGGAGATGAGTGTAGAGAAAATGTGCTTGGCTTCCAGCAGAAATAAGGTGGTTTTGAAATGTTACCTTTTTTATATGGGACTGTTCCCTTTAATATCTTCTCAATCCTTGGTTGTCCAGACAGTCACAACTGCAGTCAATATGTCCTGCACCATTCAAAATCTCTCCAAGTTTGTATGAATGGACATTCTGAGGGCTTTCATATCTGATGAGTTCTGGTTTTGGTGATCTTAGGGATGTGTGGAAAGCTGTTTTGGTTTGATGAGACAATTACTATAGATTTTTTGTATTTGTTATGGCTGGACTAGAAGATCCCATCAGAGATCTGTGCCCAGCTGTGCCATGTGTCAGGTGATACTAGATGTGAGTCTTAATCAGTAAGGGATTATCTGAAGCACACAGTGCTTTCAGCATTGTTTACAAATTGTTCTGGTGGTGAAACAAATTAAGAGCTTGCATGAAAAATCCTAAATTTGACTCAGAGTCTATCTGAGAGTGATGACTGAAAAAACAGATTTCATGAAGTTTTAACTGGCAGAAACTGGAGAGCCATACCCTGCAGATGGAGCATTGGTACCAACCCATGGAAGCCACAGGTGCTTGATTGCTGCCTGCTTAGCGAGTTCTGCCAGAACTTCAGAGACAGAAAGTTTGCTTGGCACTGATGGCATGTTAGCTATTTGCAGTGTCAAACACTCAGTAACCTCAGTACCTCAGGCATGTCCAAGATAAAGGAGCAAGTCTAAAGAGTAGACATAGGTACCAAGTCCCTTCCTGACTGTACTTTGTCATAGTTTGAAATTGCCCCCGCCCGAGAGGCTGGGGGGATCAAAGGTGATTGGGTGCCAGGGCAGTGTTCCCTGGAGAACCAGTCACCATTCGTCTTGTTCGCTTCTGCTGAAAAATCATATATACACAGCACCAGAAGCTGTTGGCAGTTTTGCTGTTGGTGTCTGCTGCGTGTGCGTGTAGAAGGCCAGGGGGTGGCTGGGCTCCTTCTTCCCCCCTTCGGGGGGGGGAAGGGGAGCCCCGCGGCCCCCCAACTCTGCCTAGGCCAGAGTTAGAGGCAGCATTTAGAGTGAGTGTTTGTGAGAGATGTGACTCAGCACCTGAGGTAAGAGGAGAGAGGCAGGCTTTGCAGCCAAGCCCTCTTCCCCCTCCTTTCTGCAGTTAAGCTGTGGAGGGGGGCCTTTTCTTTCCCTCCGCTGTAAAGTGGAGGAGAGGCTCAGAATTGGAGCAGAGCCAAAGTGGATGGGCTAGATATAGCTCGGAGCCAGGGAAAGGAATCCCAGGCAAAACTGGAGATGGACTGAAGAGAGAGGCTGGGAGGACGTCACTGCCATGATCTAAACGCAGGACAGCCGAAAACCCGGAGGAGGAATCAACATTCCGGGACACGTACGTTGATAAGCTACACTGCAGCTGCCTACAAACCAAGGTATGAGACTGAGAAAGAGAGATCACACAGCAGAACGAGGAGAAAGGACTCAAAGCTACTTTCTTGAACTTCGTGAGGAGAAAGACTGCAACAAACAGCTGGAGCTTGGTGAGGGGGGAGTGTTCGGGGCCCGAACGCTCCCCCACAAGGGAGAGATTGGTTACTTCCCAGCCTGAAAAGGCTTCTCCTGGACTGAAGTTAAAGGGAGGGGCTTAAAGGACTGATAGAAGTGTAATAATATATATATATAGTTGCCTTTAGTTTGTATAGTATTAATTTGTGTAAATAAATATATATACTTCCCCCTTCCCCTATAGAAGCCTCTAGCCTGAAAGTTTCTCTCTGGTGTTGGGATAAATTGTGGGAAGGGGTGGGGGAAAGCCTGGAAATTGGATTTTGGATTTCTAATGTGGCTCAAACTGCCACAACTTATAACTGAAAATTTTGTGAATAATTTTTCCCAGCTCCTTTTTCTCCAATATCAACACTATCAGTATCAGGTCTATCAGTAAGTGATGTCTTAAAAAAATCCCTGATTCCTGTTTAAATCTGTCTGATTAGCTGAAAAGTGCCTTTTCTCTTGTGTCGAGTGAGATCAGTTCTAAACTTGGTACAATTAGCAACAAGAACAGGTTAAACACCTTGGTTTACTTCAAAACCCGTGATAAAGCCACATCAACAGTTTTGCCTGTTTCTCTCCAGTCAGAAGTACACAGGTTATATTTTTGAAGATCAGAACTTCACAGGCTTCCTGAAATAAACGGGGTGCAGAAGAGAAGGGAAGAAAGCTGGTCTCTGGATACTAACATCCTTC